GACCATTGGGGCATGTCCGTTTAGATGAGGCAAGAATAATGGCCTCTTCCCGTAACAGGCAGAATAAAACTAACTACAAGTAAGAGGACTCCTGATGTGGCAAAATTCTTCCTCCCTGTGCCCTTTGCTCAATCCCACCCTGGTGATTGCGCAGCTCCCCCACAATGACAATAGTAAGAGGCCGAGCAATGAAATACAGCATAGCGCTGCAGTGACTGGCAAAACTGCTGGTGCTTTCAAAAGTGCTGAAGCTGCAGCCCGTCTCAAGAGACTGCTTAACCACATGCTGAAACTGTTTTGTCTTGCTCCACAGCTAGGCTTGCAAATAAGGGGAAAGCATTTCACCAAAATAGAAGCTGCTGCTGCCCCGCTGCTCCAGGCTATTGAGGTACATGGTCAAGTGTAGAGAATCCCAGACAACTTTGACAGAAAGGGGATGAATGGTTTGTTTGTGTCTGCCCAGTGTCCTCCCACCCCAACACACAAAATAGCTTGGGCTGTTAATGTTACAGTGCAACAAACCTACATTTGCAAAAATGCCAGTGCAGAATAAGCAGTTTGAGGATGCGCTGGAGATTCACTCAATAACTTAAAATCATGGGGCCTTTGTTGAACTAAGCTTTAACTTGCTGCTGCTGCTGACACCACTGCAGCTTCACTGGCACCAGATACAGTAGGGAGCAGTAGCAGAAAGTGCCAGTGGCCACCAGTAGTTTGCACCAGTGTGGTGTGCAGAGTATATGAGACCTGCCCCATTTCAGTCAACTGGAATTTGCCATTGATTTCCATGGGAGAGGAAACAGGCCTCTGCTGCTTGAGAGGCTAGTGGCTACTTCAAGTCTGGTCTACATCAGTGGTAGCTACCCCTTTTTTGCAGGTGTGTCACAAGTCATGCCCTTCCTCCCGGAGGCATACCTGATAAAAGTTTGTGCCCTATGGCACCAGAACAGAGGCGGGGGATCCAGCCTTCAGCCACAGGAGCAGGGTAAGGACACCAGTGAAAGCAGAGGTGTTGCTGCCAAAAGCCAACATTAACCTCTCCTTGGACCTGTGGCAGACACCGAATTCAGGGCTTTGACACCTGGCTCGCCATATGAAACTGCAGCCCATGCTATTTGTGGCACACTGCTGCAGGTTAGCCACCCCATGTCTTGACTCACACTGTGCCCAGTGTGGCACTGGTTTTAGCAATGTTGGGGAGGAATTGAGACAAGTACCCAAAGTGCCTTAGAAGGACAGATGATCTAATTAGCCTCCTCAAATCAGCCTCAAGGGACTGAATATTAATGACTCATGCATGTTACTTCTTCCTTTCCAGCCTAACTATTTTTAAAGCTCTTTTCAGCTAAATTGATAGTTTAGTGAAGACCTTGAGAACCACAGCTGGCTTCTCTATAGGAGCTCATGAAGCTGCTCTTCCTTTCAAGCTTCCAGCTGCACTCCTTGAATGAAGATACTAATGGCTGCTAACATCTCACTTGGGAACTACTTTAATTCAGCGCTTGAACTGAGAGATCTGATTTAATGCAAAAGCCTCCGTGAGTTTGCTTCTTACTTCCACACAAGCTTGGCGTTTGCCAAACACGTGGTGGGTTGTGTTTCTTAAACAACTGAATACAACAGAACCACTTCAAAGATTTAGCAGTTTTGTGATTTAGGACAGACTTAGTTTATGAAGTGACAAGCAGCAAATTTTGTTAAATGCCGCAACTTAAATCCTCAACATGTTTCCTGGGCTTTTATGTAGTTATGGTGCAAAATTCACTGAATCGTGGAAACGGGACTGTAGGAGGTACGGTCCCACCCTTTGCTCAAGGCAGAAACGTTTCATCTATGCCTAAACCATCCCAGGCAAAAGTTTGTCTAAGCTGTACATAAGAACCTGCAGTAACAGTGATTCCACAACCTCTCTAAACAACCTGTCCCAGTGCTTAACTATGCTCCTAGCTAGAAAGTTCTTCCTAACAACCAACATAACTATTCCTTGTTGCAAATTAAGCCCATTCCTTCTTGTCCTCTCCACTGTGGACACAGAGAACAGTTGATCAACAATGTGTTTTGTATGTGAAGATAGTTATCAACTCTTTATTCAATCAACTCCCCATTCTTCGGACTAAATGATCCCAGTTCTTCCAAGCTTTCCTTGTCTGTTACATTTCCTACATTGCTAATCATTTTGATTGCTCTCCTCAGGACTTTTTCCAGTTTGTCCACGTTTTTACCAAAGTGCAGTGCCCAAGCAAAATATTCCCAATGAGGCCTCACTAGTGACTGCTGAACAGAGTGGAAGAGTCACTTCTCATGATTTGCAAGCAGCACTCCTAGTAATATATCCCAATATGCTAGTGGCTTTTTTTTTTTTTTTTTACAACACTGCATTTTTAAATCATTCAGCTTGCCATCCAATATGACTCCCAGATCCTTTGCCACAGAACTGCAGCCTAGCCAGTTGTTCCTCAATTTTTTTTTGTCCATGATTAGTCTGTTCTAATTGTAGGCTTTTACATTTGTCCTTAGCTAATTTAATCCAATTCATTTCAAACCATTTCTCCAATTTATAAGGTCAATTTGAATTCAATTGTACCCTTCAAAGTGTCTACTATCCTTTTAAGCTTGGGGTCATTGGCAAATTTACTAAGTATTCATTCAAAACCATCCTCCAAGTCGTTACTGAAAAGGCTGAGCAGAACAGACCCCTCCAGAACCCAGACTGATATCTCATCCCAGGTACAAAATGAGCTACTGAGTGATGACTACTTTTTGAGCATAATAATTCAACAAGTTATGTACCAGTTTTACAGTAGTTTTCTTTAGGCTATTTCCTTAGTGTACTTATGAGACTAATGGGAGACAGTGTCAAAAGCCTTATTAAAGCTGAGGTATATCATATCCACTGTTCTTCTCCCATCCACAAAGCCTGTCACCTTGTCACAGAAGGAAACCATGTTGGTTAAGCATGGCTTGCTATTGACAAAAGGAAGCTTCTTTCTGAATACTCGTGATTGTTCCTTTGAGAAGCGCTTCTATATGCTGAGTCTTCATGCTCCTTCCTGAAGAATCTTCTTGAGGATCTGACTGATGGGAAGAACAGAGTACTACAGAGATGACAGTGGGTATTAGAGAATGGCTTCCACTAAGGGCATTCAGCACTGTGATACACAATTCACAGGAGCCACTGTCAGAGCTCAAACTGTCTAGCACTGAGTTGCCAATTTCTGTGTTGAACAGACCTTTAACCAGGGTCCCATTTTATTTTCTGCACTTTGACGCTGGAACCCTACCTACCGGAAATGCCAAAAACACTAATCCACTGACAGCTCCAATTAAGTGAAGATCCCGGGGAGGAGACAAAAGGCAGCAGGTCTTGTACTACTGCCATAAAAGTGAAGAACAGAGCTACCAGGCACATTTCAGCCAGCATCCATCAATGTTTTCTTGACAGCTGCATGCTACACTCAAGATTGTCACTGTGTGGGAGCCTTTGCTCCAAGGTTGAGGACTCCCTTAAGACCTGAAGGGCAATGTTCAACTAACAGTCAGCAAACTACATTGGCTGGTTTGTTTGGCTGACGGATAGATGGCAAAGAAAACACAAGGATCACACTATTAAAAACACCTTTTTAACAATACACATTAGAGCTGGACAAGTTCTGCTCAAATACGTCTAATTTTCAGAGAAGAATTTTCATTAGAAGATAAAAAGTAGGGCAGAAAACTCCTATGCCCTGTTAGGTATGACTCCAAGTGGAAACAATTCTTTCAAACTTTGCTGGTGTTAGAAACTTTTTATGAATTTTAGTATCAGGTGGGGCAGAATGAAGCAGCACCAATTAATACCTTTGCATGGTGAGCTTTTATGAAGGCTCTACAATGGAATGAAAGGGGAAAAACCCCTATTATTTTTTTAGGAGTGATACTTTGCACATAACCAAAGTTTTTCACAAAGGTCTTCAAAGTAACTCACTAAACATTCTGCCTCCTTTCACAGATAGAGAAACGGGGGCACAGAAAGATCAGGTATTAACCTAAGATCACAGTGCCATGGTTAATGACAGAACAATGAAGATCTCCTAACTCCTACTCCTTAGAGCAGCTAAATTTTCTGCAGCATGTGGCAGCAAGCTCACCTCCTCCCACAAATAACTTAACCTTGAGATTCTGATCAACCCAGTGTTTAAAGTTGCTCCAATAGTAGCACAATGCCTACATCTGGGGAGATGTGTGTTAAAAGGCTCCTCCATTCTTAAAACAGTGATTTCCTTTAAAGAATTAAGCTATGATACAGAATAGACATTTGCAAAAAAGACTGTCTTTGGTTCAGCATTGTTTTCTCTTTGGAACAGTGAGCATGTTATAGATGGGATAGACAGAAGAGCAGTGGTTTCTGCTATATGACTATAGTAAACACCATTTCTGCAGGGAGTGAAGAATTCCCTGAGGGCTCTGATCAGCACTTTCTAGAGTTAATAGAAAAGATGAAAGTCACAAAAAGCATTTTAAATTCTAGGAGACAGGTTCACACTGGGTAAACAGGGCAAAATTAAAAGTGTGGCAATTGTGTTGAATCAATCAACTTGGCAACCTCTATGTGCCCTTTCAAAACCAAATGCTACCAAAAATGTTCTCCAGTGCCCTGCCCTTTTGGGACTGGCTCCATGTGATACAAGGACAGAGATCACACCCTCATTCTGAAGCTCTCAGGATACTGAGGAGCGAGTGCTTCATCTCTGCTCTTTGCAAATACAGAATTCTGACTGGAACCAGAATTACTAGGTGCTGTAATCCAGAAACCAGAACAAATTAATTTTCTATTTCTTTAGTGACCCCTTATGGCTAAAACAAGGAGAGGCATTTACTGGAGCTACATTCAGTCTGTTTACGGAGTTACTTCTTTACTGGCTCACAGAAAGGGAAAAGGAACAAATAAGGAGGGACGAAAAATCAAGGGAGGGTTAATATCTCTGAGGGAAAAGTGAAGTAAAGCAAAATTTTGACCTCACCCTTGCTGTTGTGAACTACTCTGGGAACTGTGGCTTCGAACTGCAGACCATAACATAGATCCTGAAAGACAGAGACCAAAGAGAATTAAGTAATGACATTGGGATGGACAATCTGTGTTTATTTAATAAGGAAGTATGAGTCCTCTCAGTTGGCACCATTAGGAAAAGTCTTAGTGTCCAACACAACAGAATTTCTCTCATTCTTTTACCTCCCACAAAAAGGCAAAAATATTTAGAGGGGGCCACCAACATACATAATGAATCAGAAACTTGTCTATGATGTACAAAAATCCAGCAGAACAGAAGAGAAAGTGGGCCCGACATCTACCATGTACGGAAGATACTCCCAGTAAGTGAGACATTCAGTTCCAAGATCTCAAATACTAGGTTAGCAATTCATATGGCTGTAAATCATCTCTTCTGTAAACCAAAGAGGGATGGTTCCAGTGGTTTAGACACAGCATTGCATGCTCATAATAATACAGTATTATTCTAATGGCTATTGTTAAGTGTATCCTCCTCTGCCCAGGTATGTCTCAACCTTTTAAGGCAATGACAAGTTATTACTGAACATCTGTACGTAAAACAAGGTTCTCCCAGCTTTTTATATCCTCTGGTTCACTCAGAGAGAAGGAGAGAGTAGCACACAACCTCAGTAACTTCCAGACAGTCCCTTCAATAGTGAAGTGAAACATATGGAAGCCCTGATGGCACGGTGAGCTCGATGGAACTTCTCTAGAGCAAGGGACCACTGGTTTTAATCCCTTTTCTGCCTGCACAAATTACCTTCCCCTTATCACAGACAAGCAGCATCCTGGGCTTTTTCCATGGAAGAGATTAAACGCAATGGAAAAGGTGAAGGTGGTGATTTTAATGGCTTATTCAGGATGGGTATGGCTATGGGTAGTTAATGCTGGACAATGAGCAACTGCAACAGCAAAGAGAGCAGACTGGAGGGATTACAATCAATGAGACTGAACATCTGGAGAGGCTGATGAAATTCCCCTTACGGAAGGGTCACTTTCTAATGGGTTTTCTTAGGGCTGTGTGAAACAGCACTGTTTCGTTCCGACTTCTGTTTCTCCGGGGCAGTGTTTCATTTAGTTTCAAAAGCACTGTCCCGTTTTGTTTCATCAAAACTGTTAGCTGTTTTGACATTTCGCCCATAGGCTATAATGGGGAAGCATGGAACCTCCTATAACTTCGTCATTTCTTGCCTGGTTCACCTGAAACTTGCAGGGATGGTAGCCCTTTCTGAGGCCATGATGCCTGCCAAGGTTCAAGGATATAGGTGCAGGGGTTTCTAGGAAATGGTACCTCAAACTGTTCAGAGCAAAACTCGCGTCACTTGTAAGTGTGAAGGCACAGAGAAAGCTCAGTTGAAACAATATTTTTTACGCTTTTTTTTTCATCCCTCCCCCAGAGCACTGGGATTGGAAGGGACCTCAGGGAAGGATCACAGTCACTGGCCAGCTACACAGTCAGTATCAGAGCAGTCCTTCCCCCGCTTCCCCCTCCCCTTCCTTACATTCTCTTTACCTGCAAGCAAGCTGAGCTTCGAAACTTGAAACGTTTTGAAACTTTCAAAACATTTCAACTGCCCTTGTTTCATTTCAAGGCTATTTTGAAGCATTTCATTTTAATTCAATTTTGCTGTTTCAAGCTCAAAATGAGTCGAAACAGCATGGAAATGAAACAGCGGGCGAAATTTTGCACAGCCCTAGTTTTCATTGCTTTTATACTTTTCATTGCTTTTTTTTTTTTTTTTTAGTGACAGCGCTTGAATGTTTATTAGAAACAAAATGGTACCAGCACAATACTGTGGGGGGAACAGGACTAACCAGGGCAAGTCAGGCTAGCAAACATGAAAAGCACCAATGCAACTTCATTAGCAGAAAATGAAGCCTTCTCCAAAACCCTCTTCTTAACAAAGAGTATTTGCACTAGAGATACACCGATACATGGGTCCGATATCGGATCTGCACCTATACAAAGAAAAGTGACTACTGGAAATTGCTTTTTTTGCCCAGTGCGGCTGATAATTTGGCCAATAAATGCTCCATGCATGTATGCAGATGCAGCACAGCATGCAGGCGTGAGGAGCATAGCCTGGCAGCTTGGACAGCTGTGTCCAGCTGGTAATTCTGTTGTGGTAGAAGGAGAAGGGGGAGGGA